TTATTTATTTGTAATATAAGAACGGGGGTCTAGGCCAGAGGTACGGGGTGGGGGGACAGGAGGAGACGATTCACCAGAGACAGTGGGGAGCAGAATAGGGGAAGGCAGGAGAGGTCTGCTGTGCCATGTGGGTCAGCCCTCTCGCCGGGAATGGAACTCATGCTGCAGTGGCTGGCAATAGCTTAATGGTACTGGGGCTTTTTTTTTTTTAAATTTTACAATAGTTTATTTTTACATATTTTTGTGCATTTTCCCACCTCAGTTGCAATCCCCTTGGGTTTCCCATCACCAAATCACCCATGTGCCATCACCATAGTCCGGTACTGGACCTTTAACCCCTGAGCCATCAGGGAGGCCCTGCTCTTTGCAAGCTTATAGACCCAACTGTTAAAGGGCATGGGCCCAAGGAAGCAGGGCCTTGGGGAAGGGTTCTCTTCACCCTCCACCTTCAGACCCCTCTGGATGGGAAGCAGAGCCCAGGAGCTGTGTGTTGGTGGTGGTAGGTGCATGGCTTGGCAGAGAAGCCCCACGTATGTGGAAAGTCAGGGGCAGGAGTCGTGGGCGAGTCAGGGAGCTGACAGCAGGCTCAGGCTGAAGAGGCTTGGGGAACCCAAGCTGATTCTCTTGGCAGTTTCCTAAAGCGTGGCTCCTCGAGCTGCCCCTTCCTTTCCCACCATCTGTCCCAAGGTTGCTCTGTGTGGATGAAGGACAGCTGTGCCTTCTGAGGTGTCAGCCAGTCTGGGGCAGACACAGCAGTGGGGGGTGGGGGGCGCCGCTGAGCTGAGTGCTCACTCAGAGCCACCCCTGTGGGCATGCTCAGTTGGATCTAACCATCGCTGAAGACCCTGCCAGCCAGTGCCCTGGGCCCCAGGCCAGGGGAGGTGATGACTTCCCGTGTCCCTAGACCTCTCTGTACCATTTGACTTGGTGGACTCCTCTTCTGTGAAGTTCCAGAAGCAAGGGCATTAAGGGGGTAAAGGGCCTTCGTCTCCCCGCTCCCACACCCCCCCGGGAACTAAGCTGGAAAAGGGCTCACTTCCCACTGCCCAGGTTGACGCAGTTACCAGCCTCTCGTCCAGGACCCGGCTCAGCCCTCCTCCTGCAATTCAGCAGGGCAGAGTCAGATACTGGAACTGCACCAGGCAGTGCTCCCAGCCAACCTTCTCAACCCGTCAGATACCCATGAGGAGACTGAGGCCCAGGGAAAATAACTGACTGTTAGTCTTCTCAGCAACTTATATAAAAGCCAGCCTTCTCTAGCCTTTTCTCGTCTAGTTGAGTTGTCTTTCAAGCTTCCTAACGGCTACAAAACCCTTCTGAAAAGTGACTGGTGCATAGAAAGTAGCACTGGTTAAGGTGAATAGGTAGACGTAATTAGCTGTGTGACCTTTTCTTCTCTTAGCGTGTCTTCTCTTCTGTTGCTCAGAAAACATCATCATATTTAGGATAAATAAAAAGGACTAGCCTGTGGGTAATCATAGAGTTGTTTTGGCTAAAGTTTGAGAAAAAAAGAAAAAGAAAACGAACATACCTCAGTGGGTCAAAGAGCTGATAGATGTTATTTTGGGGGTTCCTTTACTCTGTCCCTATTAGGAAGTGACCCAAGGAGGCAGTGGGGTTCCTTCTCTAGCATTTCACTTGAGGTGGGCAATTTCTGCATCTCTACTTTTGTTGCTGTCTTTTGCCTTTGTCTCCTTCCCTCCCCAAGTAAAGGAAGCAAAGGTTTGAGTGTGAGAGCACAGGACCCCTTCTCCCTGCCTGTCCCCCCTCCCCACTCCACAGTCTTGGTTCAGAAGCTTCTGCAGAAGATGGAATTCCCACCCAGAGTCCCCTGGCTCGCTTCCACAGGCGTTTCTGGCAGAGCAGAAGAGTCCTCCATTCTTGCTGTACTCCTCTCCCACAGAATGGGCAGGACTCAATACTTGCAGACCTCAGAGCAGTGGCGCCCCCTGCAGGCAGAGGCAGGTGATGGCAGGTGGCCCCGCTCACCCCCAGTATACCCAGTTTACCCTCCCCTGATCAGGGACACCTCAGCGCTCCCATTTCTTAAAGCTCCCAGAATATTAGAAAAAAAAATAGTGAGGAATAAAACAGGGATAGCAAACTGTAATATGTTTTAAGTGTTTACTTAGCACAGAGTAACGCTTTTCACATTCACATAGCCTTTTTGACTGTGCAATTCACAAGACAACAGAAATTTTTCAAAACAAAGTATAGTACACCAAAGGCTGGAAGAGGAACCCCAGTTTAAAGTTGTCTAATGAACATGTCACTTTTGACCGTGCTGTGTTTTCCTGGATTGCATGTTAGTATCACTGGGAAGAAGAGCAAGACTTTAAATCTGAGGACATGGCTCCCCAGTAGCCTTCCCGTGCTGGCCTGGCTGTAGGTCTCCACATATGGCCCGTGGGGCCTGTGGGTGCCCACACCTCTTTTCTGAGGCAGTGGCAGTGGAGAGCAGGTGCTTGGAGGTGTCCCATAGAACAGCCCGTGGCCAAGGTCATGGGCTGGGCCCCTGTGCCTGTAAGCGACAGCCTGCACACTGCCCCCTGCTGGCCATGGGGGAAATGGGTGACAATGGTCTGGGGTAGTGGCTCATAAACCAGGGTGGAGGCCCCCAACACCTTCCAGTGGTCTACAGGTCAATACTCTTTCATGATAATAATAAGAGACTTGATCTCATGCTCTCACATATGTACAGGTGAAAAGTTCATTGATACGGCTTCAGATGTCCCACTGGAACAGATCTTTAAGAAACGACCCTCTGCTGAGTTTTGCTGCCTTGTGGACTAGCCACAAGGATATTAAAATAGCTCTCCTTTTCCCAACTATAGTACACATCTGTGCAAATCTGCATGTCCTTCAAGTACCCTATGTTTTTTCCATCCTTGATATCTTTATGTATATATTGCAAAAAAAAAGATGAAAATCATATAAGAATATCCAGTTTGTTAGACAAAACATTACTGAGCTTATAAAAATGTAAAATAATATTTTTCCAATTGTTTTTTTTTTCCCAAAGCACAGTGGCCTTTTTGGTAAAACATGTAATCATCTCATGCATTCATAATTTTTCAATGAATTATAAATGTTTCTGTTTTAATATCTGATATGGTAAATGTCAATAAATGCAACCTGTATCATTGGGGTCCCCAAGAATTTTTATAACAGTTGAATGAGCTATAGTTTCACAGACTTTAAAATTCATACTTTAAAATGCCATCTGGTGGTATTAGTGTATTCACAACCTGTGAATACAGCCACCATCACTATCTAATTCATTTTCATCGCCCCAAATAGAAACCCTGAACCCATCAGCAGCCATCTCCCATGCCTTCCTACCCCTCTTCTCTGCCCTAGCCCCTGGCAACCACTAATCTAGTTTTCTTTTTCTGTGGATTTGCCTATTCTGGACATTTTTCACATGATCGGAATCTTACAACATGTAGTCTTCTGTGACTGGCTTTTCTCGCTCACATGGTGTCAAGCTCATCCAAGTTATAGCACGTATCCATACTTGATTCCCTTTTCTAGCTAAGTCATACCCCAAGGTATGTGTATGCCACAACTTACCCATTCATCAGTTGATGGACCTGTAAAGTGTTTCTACTTTGGGGCCATTATGAGGAACACTGCTGTGAACATCCATGTACAAGTTTTTATATAAACATACGTTTTCATGTTTTCTGTTCATTACTTCAGGTAGACACCCAGAAGTAGTTTCTGGGTCATGGTAATTCTTTTTAACTTTTGAGGAACTGTCAGACTGATTTTTAACTTTCATGCTGTTTAAGAGTGTAAGAGTCCTATATGTGAGAACCAATGATCTAGGTAAGATTAGCGGGGAGTGAATAACTCAGTACAGCCCTTCATCTTTGCTCTAGGATTGAAATGCCCTTCATCTCTCTCTCTTCCCCTCCTTTTTCACCCCCAACATACAGACATACACAGTTTGCAAGGAGAAAGCCAACTAAGTTCGACCACCTAAAGTAAACCATAGAGGTGGCCTCCCTGGTGGTACAGAGGGTTGAGTGTTGGGACTATAAGGCTGTCAGCAGCCACTGCAGCATGAGTTTAATCTCCCACCAGGGACTGACCCACATGGTGCAGCCAACCTCTCCTGACCCGCCTGCTGCTCCCCTCAGCAGTGTATATCAGTGGATCCATCTTTTCTGTTCCCCACTCTGTCTTTGGTGAATCCTCTCACCCCTGTACCTCTAGCCTACACCTCAGCTCTTGTATGCATAAATAAATAAAACAAATCTTAAAAAATAAAAGTAAACCACAGGAAGTTCAGGAGCGGAGTCTTCTCCCTGCAGGATTCCCAAGGGTGTCATTTTCATGATAGTCTCTGTGGATGGTGGCCCTGGCAGTTGTATAGGATGGTGGTCCTGGCAGTTGTATAGGATGGTGGCCCTGGCAGTTGTATAGGATGGTGG